TATGGAAGGATGGCATGTACTGAAAAAATGTAAAATTCCAAAGAAATCAGCATTCTCGTCACAAGTACAATAAATGGATAGCTAGTAGGTTTTATGTAGTACATGAAAATTCCATGTTGCACATTCAGATAAGTTATAAATACTTATCTCTAAGTAAGTCAGGGGATATGACAGTAAAGATACTAAGTATATTATACTTCATGAGTATTTTCGAAGTATTCCTCTTGTATCCAATAGCTTAGAAAGGAGATAAAAATGTCAGTGAGCTTGTAAACAATCATCCACCGAGTTGCATATTGACTTCCAACCTCAACAAAGGATGTTGGCTAGAGAATTAGACTGTCAAAAGAATAAATGTGACTAGAAAAAGATATGAAATCAGTTCATAAAGTCAAAACTTATTGATTTGAGTTGCGTGCATAAGTCTAAACTTCTTTGCTGTGGTCATTAAGACACTACCCAATCTTCACTATTACCAAGTATTTGTTGACTCATAATCAACTAGAAAGAGATCAAGGTAATCGACCCAAAAATATATATACAGCTGAAAATAAAAGACAACTTACCTGTAATGAAAATGGAGAAGACATTTCATTTTGTTTACAAGTTGATTGCATTTTCTGAATTAATTCTGACCATTTAACCAACATATTTCTATACATCGGTAGTTGTATATTATTCTGTTCTTTACATTGTCTTCTTCGCTCGGTAAATATTGGTTCATAATAACTTAACCATGAATTTAAAATTGACTCAAAATTAACAACAGATTTTATAATTTCATAAGTTGGGATTTGATTTTGTTGTGGGATAGACAAATAATCGAGAGGAGCAGGAGGAGGATAGTGAATAGGTGGGAAACGTCCAGCATTCGACCAACAGGATGGTATTATTGGCTGCAAGGGAAGCGATGACTGATGATTTAGAACCGGTGCAAATATTTGCTCACCAGTTGATGTTGACACTGTTGGTCTATATACAGGCATTACTTGTAATGCTTGAGTATTCCATGAAGAATGTTTATGTTCAGGTAACGATGACAGTGATCTACCTCCTAGAAATGGTGATGAACGAAGAATTGGCGGCATAGATCTGATTGGTGGTGGTCTATTATAATCGCCCATTTTCTTTAAAAAATAAGCACTAATAAATGAAAAGCATGAAAATTTATATTACTATTATTAAATTTTTTTAATTGCAAAATCTAAATCAAATGATGGCGTTTCTCATGTCAATGCTAATTAACCTTAACTGAATTAATATTAGCCAAGAAACCTAGTATGAAAGGTGATATTTCAAAGCATTTATTTGATTCACTTCCATAATACACTTCGCAAAACCTTTTAAATCAATCCTTAGAAGTTCACAATCTACGTTCAGGGTGTTTTGTAGATTTTTTCTAATCACTTAACAAGAAAAATAATTATATACGGTATCATAACGGAATTTCAGTTCCAAGCCAATAAAACTCGACTAATGTATAATAGTGAATATATATTTATTATTAACTCTCCACCCAATGCTCAATTTATTTGAAACCAAAAAGTCCAACCTTGGCATTGATACCTATAAATGTACAATAAGGTTTATACAGCAGTAAAAATGTTGTATGGTGTAGCCCCGATGTAGTGTTCCTCACGATTGGAACAGTTTATATTGCAGATGATGTTCAGTTCTTCTTTTATTTCATTCTTTGGTTAGTATAAGACTGATTGGAGTGATTTTCTGGTTTATGTGCTATACCAATTCTAAACGGCTTTAATAATCTCGTAATTTCTGATGCTTTTTATATATGATAAAATAATCTGTCTGTTGGTTTCTGTATTTGATTTCACTATTGCTGAGGATTTGGATTGATATCTTTTGACGAGCATTTGTGGATAGCCGTTCTTTTGAAAGATGTTCATTTATCGAAGACGTTGATCAAATTGTAGGTGTTTTTCAGCTCATCTTTTCTGATGACGAATGAGTCATCCAAACAACGAATCTGCGAATCACTAGTGAAAACGATGCTTACAGTCTCTGTATCACTGCTTATATAATAAGTCCCTATATTGGTGATCCAATTGACGTTCCTTCCGTCCATTTGTAGGTTTTATTGTTAAATTGGAAATATACGTTGATTAGTGGTAAATATCATTTGTCCATTCCTTAGAGTTGACTGTTTTCAGTCGATCAAGTTGCAACGTGGTCACCAGTTTGAGTGACTCGACTACATGTACACTCCATTTTGGAGTTAGGGGGGTTGAAAGTAGTCAGGAGGAAATTGATCTTATAGGGGGATCAGTTCACTTAAAATGAAATCAATAAACAGAAAGGTAACCAAATTAGTGTAGGTAACAAGTCCTCTTACACAAAAAATTTGCTTCATTTAACGACAGGAGTATCACAAAACATCCACGGTAATGAACAATCATCACTCAATAAAAATACGAACAAGGATAAAAAGATAAAAATAGAATCAAAAACTCGTAAAACCAAATCATAAAATACGAGAGACACCTTGATTTGTACCACTAAAATTCTCTAACCACTGATTTCCTCTAGTGAAACCATTCTACTTCGTTAATTATAGTTTTTTGAGCGATCATGAAATTAAGTTTGCCTTACAATTTGAAATGGGTAACAATCCATGATTTCGTTAATCTCCTCCTTATTCTAGCTATCACAGTGAATTGAGATCACTACAACGCTAATACTGGATTCGTAAGCGTGATTTCTGGGGTCTGAATAACTCGTCAATGATGTGTTTAACATTCCAAGAGAATATGTTCATCTAAAATACTGCTGACAAGTAAATAGTTTAAGTTGTCTAGAAATACTTCTAGATTATTATCAAACATCCAGAACAGATTAAATAAACCTATATCAATACATCCTCATAGTCAGTTTTCATTGAAATCTAATTCAAAAACTGGCCTCGATTTATGTACCTGCAAATACCCATTAAAAACAATCTACCGATTTCAAGTAGTATAACATGTTTTGTGATGAGAAAAGTAAAAGAAGCGGTATGAGGCTTGTCTATAATCCTGGAAGAATTCTATAAAGTGAAAGGCTAGATTATCAAGTTACAAGACAAAACATGTTTGAACCGACTTTAATGATTACACTTTTTTAGTTCAAACTGATGTCAAACTTCACAATTTTAATTTGAAGTTAATAATCTAACAACAGTGAGTAAAAGTAGTTGTTACTATGATGACTAGCATGAGTATTAGCTTTTTTTACTAATATTTGCTAGAATCTATCACTACCGAATTACTATCGTTATAGCAAGCTAAGTTAACATATTTTGCAAAATCAATAGAAAAAGGACTAATTAAATATCATGCAACGTGAAACACGATAATTACACCAACTTATTTTTTATTCAAAAATACATGTATTTCACACTGATTGCTTATCCCTTCACAATACTCAACATGGGATTTTTTGAAATTTCAGTGAGTGCTTTAAAAAAATGGAAATTAGTTTCCTTTTGTGACTACTCATTACCCAGAAGCAATTTATTTTGCCAAAAGAAATACGAAGTATAATATATGTTTAACAAACCAAACATCTTCCAATCATATGTTTTACAGTGAACCTTTGACAAAACACTTTATCATATCGGTAGAAAGTGTTTCACCTAAAAACTGCTCACAAATATAACCCAACTAGAATGCGAAATTCGGCAAAATAATCAAAGTAATCCATTTAGAACCAGTCTTGTACAAACACAATGAATTAGTAATCACTTTTAAACAAACTACGAAAGGCAAGTAGAAGTAATATTAAGACACAAAGTTGTTTAATTTGCAATGATGGGAACCATAAACCGATTTTTATTACTGCACCGTAATTTACAATATTTAATTAAATGTCTTTAATCATCAAGTCCAGGCACATTTTAATTCCTAAATAGTACATATATATTAATTCTAATGGATTGATTTTGATTAGGTTTGATCCGTGTTCGTATTCCAAATAGTGACTCAGAAATGAGTGATATAACCTCTAATTATCACGAACAATAAAGCCCCTCGCCTTCGCAACTGAGAACCTCTACTGACTTATAGTGTTCATACAACTGCGCAGTACCATATTGAATTGACTTATAACTGACAACTACATTCCTCAGGCGTAAGGTACAAGTTTTATCAATATGGTATGTACGGGAGCGCTTTTACTTAATTACACTAATTAAAACTATAAATAATTAGTTCAGTGTACACCGACTACGTTACTTATATATCAACACCTCCGAAAATCAGAACTGATTTAACTGTATGGATAAATGGGGACGTTAGTTTAATCAGGAACTCAAATTAACAGATAAAAATCACAAACCAAGATGAAAACCTAAATCCAACGGGAAACAATTTGCAAATAAACGAAAATACCACAAAATGAACACAAGAAAAATACAATTTATTTGGTATTAATCAGAAAGTAATATGTACAGATTATACAGGGAAATTTTGTTGTATATAAGGAAGCCTTGGAAAATAAAGTACATGTTCTTATAGTGCGAACATTAAATGTAATCAGTAATGAGTGAATATCTGAATTCGATTGATAATTATCTATAGATGTTATAATTATTTTGAATGTAAATATGGTTATAAACAACTCGGCTATTATTAACCTAGGACAAGTATAAACAAGAAATTAACATTTGAACATAGATAAAAAGATGCTGAAATGAAATCACAGAAGTGAATAACAGTAAAGCTACAGTATAAACAGCATAAAGCATCCAAGTAATGATGAAACAGTCTACATAGATAAGGAAAGTGAAGAACATATATAGTGAGCATGTCAAGAAAATAAGCAAATAGATACATTAACACTGAAGAAACAAGTAGGAAAAAAAATTTTGACAATAAGAAAAGTAAATACATTATGTGAATAGATATTCTAATGGTCAGTAAGTTATGTGCCAACACGCATACGCAAACACATAGAAAGACCGCTGGTGAAATAAAACAAATAGTAGTACTAGTAAAATACAAGCTTTACTCCCATAAGGCAGCGACATTCCCATGAAATGTGGAAGCGATTGGACCACCTGCTGTGAACAAACGTGTACCTGAAGGGTCATATTCATGTGTATAAACAGCCAGCATTCGACGTTGGTTGAAAAATGTAGGAAAAGATACAAAATCAGAATGAATATTGCCAAAATAATTCATTCCTAAAAAAATGGGTCCTAAATGTGGATCACGGATTTGTAAACGTGGTAAACCAAAGGGCATTACTACATGTGTAGAAGGTGTATCAATTTCATTTGCTTGACTTGAACTTTGATTATTACCATCCAGAGAATCCACCGTCGCAGTCTCATTATTTGTGGTTGACTGGAGGTCATCGACTGGGAAGTATGATTCAGATAATGAAGAATCATTACCATCCTCTGTAGTGGTATTCTGTTGATATGTATCACTTCGAATATTAGCATAACTCGACCTGTCAGACACCGACGCCTCGACAACTGGGTAGGTGTTTAAAGCTCCAGCCACTGCCATGCTACGCCGACTACGTAAACTTGACAAACGATGTTGGATTCTGTCTAAACGAACACGTATATTGTTAACAACTTCAGCCCTAAGTTGTGATGAACGAACAGTATTTAGAGACCGTGTCAAAAGAGCTGGATGTGCAGGGGAGGGTGGTGGAGAAGGTGCATTCCAGTTAGAAGAACTTTGAACTATTGCTTGAGGTTGTGAAACCGGTCTGGAAATAGGGGCAACTGAAGAGGACACAACAGACGGTATCTCGAATTCATCACATGTTTGTGGTTTCAACCAACCAGGACCAACGTCCAACTGTATTGGCAGATGATGATCACTTCTAAGGTCATAAAAGTGCACTTGACCACTGGAAGTGCCATAAGACAAAACTGATTCAGCAAAGTTCAAAGATCGGACACCTGATACATCTAAAGGAGGAAGTATACAGCGTGCTGCAGCTCCAACCTTGACTGTAGAACATCGAATATCGAACAAAAGTACACAATGATGAGTTGCAAGTGCTATGCAATTAGGTTCAGATGGCCAACGTCGAAGAGCTACAGCTTCCTAAAATGAGATTTAAAATAGAAGAACCAATAAATTTCAGCGACTTGAAGTGAACTGAAATTACCATTACTGATAGTTTTTACAATTGAGGTAGCTTTTAAAAAAGCATTACAACCTGAAACAAATGATGAAAATAGCAGTAAGGCGCAATGAGGCAGAGCAGTTTCGCATTAGGTTTGTTTAGTTTGTTTTCATTATATTCGATCATCACGTCGTTTGCAAGAAAAGAATAAGATTATTTGGCTGAGATCAACAGTTGGACGAAGAAAAACCACAACTTAGAAAAATTTAGTAGTCGTATAAGTTTTTATTATCTGATTGTTTACATGATTATCATTTATTAACGAATGTCTGTATTACATGCATCTTACTTCTACATGAGATATGAGTCATTCAGAATTATTCGCAATGGTGTTGACAGACTTAATAGTTATTTTGTGTTTAGTAGACAAAGTATTCTCAATTATTGACTCACATTGGGTTTTTTTATATCTACTTTAATCTTATCATACTTTTAGTATTCTTTCCTTTCTGTATTCTTTTATTGAAAAGTGAATCAACGTGAATCATAACCACCAAAATGTAAATACAGTAAAACTGCGGAACGCTCTAAAACACGTCTGCTGCCCACGACTGTAAAAGATAGGTAACACAAAACTGCAGACAAGTGAACATTTGTGATTTGAAAGTGCTTTCAAAATAATGTGGTTGAGCTGAATCTTGATGGTGCCTAGAAAGTTCCGATTTGTGCCCACTAAATATTAAATACACTTGCCAAAGATAAGTAAAAGTAAAGATTTTTAAAGCTTATATTGAACCCTAATAGTTTAGTTTTTTGGTAGGTGTATTTTAAATGTTGGGGGATTTAATCAACAGTCGATATTTTCAAATAAGTGAATACATCTTAAAACGAATAAACATGAATACTTTAAGTTTTGCAGAAAGTGCGTATTTGATTATTATGTTCGTTTAATGAAGCCACACTCGAAACTAGAAAACTTGTCTAACCTAACAGTTATACTACAAAAGGGGATTAACTGAAAACTATTCATGTTATTTTACCGTTATACCGGATCATGCAAAAGTGTTGTTCCAGCATGGCTATCTCTTCTCTTCAATAAAATTGAAAAACGTCGAAGTTACAAAAGCTTGAGCATCAAAGATTATACATTTGAAGAATGTTGGCAATTTATTATTTGCATGGCAGCGCAATAACTTAGAATGACCAGGTGAAACCTATGGAAGTTAGACATTCTACATCTGTACATATACTTACTCCATGACGATTTAATAAATTTCACACAATAACTAACATTATTCGATACGATACGATCAGCGTCAGTGGCTTCTATTAAAAACGTGACACAAAGTTCTATACACCAAAGAGGTTGTTTTCCATAACTCATGATTCTTAATAAATTTCACAACCCTTGAATGTTATTCTCTCTAAGTATGCAACACGGTCATTTAATATTCAAGTGAACTGACGTTCAAACAGTATTGCTACTTACAATGTACGTTAATAATAAACATTACGGTAAGTTTACAATATAGGTATAAACCAACCTGATAAGCATCTCTCAAAACTAAAGTGTAAATCGGACGTGTCCGTTTATCCAGACCCATTCGAACAGCATCATATAAGTACAGGCGACGCGACATTGATACAACTGCAAGGCTTGTCTGAGTCGGAAGATACTCCAAAGCACGAAAACGATCATCAGGTGTAGATGACATGGCGTATGCGATAGGACGTCGGATATGGAATACAGATGAAGCTGGTGCGGCGTCGGCACTTCGGCATATTCTGTTGTCATTGTTAGGGTATTGTTCAGAAGACGGAATCCGCCATAAAGCTAACGATGAGTCTCGCGAACATGACGCTAAACAGGTATCATCAAGCCACCGTAAGTCAAAAACCCAATCATTATGGCAATCCTAAAAATTAGATTTAGGGAATGAAAACTAACTCAAACGCCTGCAGTAGGTTATAAAAAATTAATATTGATTTTTTGTGTAATAATTGGTCAAAATGATTTATAAAATAACTATATATGCGAAATTTGAAGACAAATGTTTCAAACCTTTATTTTGAGCAGATACACAGTATATGAGTACTGTTAAGTACAACATAGTGACAATGTAAAAGTTTGAATGTCCAGTTTTGAAGTACGTTTAGTGTAAAGATGAATGGTGCTAACGGTTAAAATGAAGTACTTTGAAAATTATAACTTGATGAACTGGAACAAATTTCTAAACTGGAACTCCACCCAAACACAAGAAGCCTTCAACTAGAAGCTACTCTTGAAAGCTCGGTGGAAAGCTTTAGTGTACCGTTTATTACCGACATCTGATTAGGTGCACTAGATGACGAATCCCTTATTTTATTTCTAAGGTATAATCATAAGAGCGTGAAGACTATTTGTCACCTTCGGTTATTTACCATTGCCATGTTAACTATTGATTGTTATACCTATAGTGTTTGCGAATGTATAGGAATGTACCGGCATACTGATTGATTTAGGAGACGCACATGCAAATGAAGCGACGAAGAACACTGTACTGATGTGCACTATTCCTGTGTAATTCGAACACTTCTGGCTTGTAAAAACCTTTGAGTTCTTAGTTAGAAAGGTCAGCTTACCTTGGTAGTTTCATAAAATAAAGGCATTGCGTTCACGGTGAGACCTTTAACGTCAAACCGAAGAGTTGATGGAGAGGACATAATGGTAGATTCGTTCGGATTCCAACCACCAGGATGGAACTTCAACTCCTGTTTCACCTAATTTCCTCAGTAGCAGCGTATTAATGACCAACCTCCACATATAAAGCGTGTCTCAAGGTTGAGTACAAAAGCCCGTTAGTCAATAAAGTTAATAGTATCTTAGAAAAATTCAAATGGATAGCGAATGAGTCTCCCTCATCTTAACTGATCACCTGCTACGTAATATGACGTTTATCACCACGTTTGTCACGGTGAAGATAGCTCAGTAAGTCTGCATCTAGTCTAAAACGACCAGAATTCATCAATGTGAACTCACATATAATCATATCACTGTTCAAAACAAGAGACCTACCCAAGCATACATTTTACGAAATCTAACCATACCGTACTTTGACTTACGCAAAGTAAACAGTGAGGAGAAAATTCCGACAATCTATAGACTCCGATATGATTGACATTATCTCCCCTGTAGCTACAAACGTTTTCGATGTATTGAGTTGAATGGAATGAATACCACAAGCACAAGGATTAATTTGATTTGCATATCTAAAATATTAACACATTAAGAATATAATTTCCATACGGAGTATCTGATTTTATCAAAGGAATGTCAAAGCTTTCATTTGAGGTGCAGTCATATAGAACTAAATTGTTACATTTTGTACCATAGACAACATGGTTATTGGTAATCCACTGACAGGCGAAGATTTTATTTCTATGGCCAGGATCCAGACTGCGTCTTTGCCACACGAATGGAAACTTAGATGAAGACTCTGGTATCTGACCCGTACCAATGTACTGACTCGTGCCTAATTCACGAGAACGCAATAACTTTATGATTGGTTTAAGTTTCTAAAGTGGAGACCAACTGCTGGTGAATCTAAAAATCTTACCTGTCCATTAAAAACCTTACGTTTAGTAGGAGGTACCATATAAAATCTTGGAACTTATCACGGGAAAACAAGCAAGTTGTGACTAGCGCCCGAATTGATGAATTAAACGCCTCAAGGTCGTATAGTAAAACTAACTTTAAAGACTGAAGAAGTAATCTGTATACATTCAGTTTTACCACTAACTTTATGGTGAGCTAGTGCAAACTGGTTGTGTTTTCTGCAATTCTCAACTGTCAAAAGATGGGTAAATTTTTGCTGCATTTCACCCATGTGTTTTTGTGTTCATTCGTGTTCTACATTAAAGTAATCTCGGGTGCAATTTGGTGCTGAAGCATGTAGGATCAGTGAAATGTCACTGAGATCTAGCCAAATCATCCATTAAGTTGGATGCTATGTTGGACGACAGAACACTGAGCGTTGAACATCTTCAAGTTCAACCAACCAACTTTCAATAATTATTCTAACACTGTGGACCAAGCGATAAACCAGCATTAGAATTTATAGTGAAATGCATAGTCAGTGATTTTCTGTAACGACAAGATAAAAACCACATTTTTTCTATTTTGTTACACTTTATGTTACCACATTTATATTAAATATCTAATGTTTCTCTGTATCAGTGATAAAGAAACAGATATAATTGTTTGGATATACATATACTGATATACTACCGCGTTGGTCGAAATATAAACGCTATCTCCGCCAACAGTTCTTCTGCTTTATTAGACACGGCCTGTGATTGAAGACTAATATAGTGTTATAACATTCTTTTAGGCATTTCTACACTACGTTGGATTTTTGGCCAGGATTGTTATTGAATAGTACTATTAGATTCAATCTTGCTAATTATGCTATTGGTGCCACCACGTGTAGAGGAATCTTTTTTAATCAAGTGGACTCATTTGTGGTTGTTATTTCAGAGAGCAGCTTATACCACCGTAAACCTGGTAATGGTATCTAGCATATAAGTACACTTAAAGAGTCACTAAATCTCATGCACATGGTTCACCTTATCTTCTTGTAGAAAGCAAGAACAATAATTTGAGCAGAATAGCACGAATTTACTTTATTTCGTTTGGTTCTCGTCAGCTGCTGACAACCTGTGATGTCTAAAATGTATATTCACAAAATTTATTTAAATTACTCTAGTGATAGATTTTAACTGGAAGTTGCTTTAGAGGAACATCGACATAGCATAGTAAGTATGTAAATAAATTTTATAAACTGAATAAAATATCCTATGTATTTACCCTATATAAAAGAACATTCAAAAATATTGATTGTAATCAAGATCTAAAGGGCTAGAAACCAGTAGTTAAGTAATGAGTAAACGCTGATAAGACTAAAAAATGAGTAAAGCTCAGGTAATAAAATAAGATTACTGGTCAACATGAGAGTCGAAATGAAAATGCGTAATGATGTAATTAAAGGAAAGAGTTTCAAATAGTTTTCACGGTGCATTGAAGGAATATTTGTCACCAGGACAAGGAAATAATAATAACCATCACCCTTAGAACACACAAAGTAGGTTTTTGAAGCAAACGTCAGAACACTGGGTCTGGGATGTTTATTAATCATTCTGAAAGATCATAAGGCATCGGGCTAATGTTTTGTACCCAGGAGATGTTTAGTAAGTGTGTAGAACTATGGTCTACTATGATATTAGTGCTGCTCTAATAATAGACCTAATCCTAAATTTGTAGATTTGTCATGATATAACTGCCTAATCTATAAGATCTTACGTGGAAGTCACACCATCGACTACGCCAACTCACTGTATCGTATCAATTACCAATACATGATGTAGAACAACGTTAAGCTAGAGAAGGAACAATATATTTAATATGAATAGAAGATATAAGATAACATTCAGATGGACCACGCCTGCATGGCCGAGCCATGCCATCCGATCAACTCCAGTCCATTCAGTTCATTGTTCGCGCCTTCTCCATTGTTGGGTATTTGTCCGCGTTAAATGTTGAATATCTATTTTCTGAGTAGTCTCGTGTTCACAGCTTTGTGGATTGTGTGGCTATTGTCCAATGCCACTACAAGTGCACCGTTTAAAGTCCTTATTTCGCAGAATTATGGTCTACTTTGGTATAATACTGCATATTTAAGTGTAAGGGGAACGATAACTCTGCCATCAAATCACGAAAACTCTCAGGGTGTATTGATGTGCCTCCTCTCTTGTAAAACCCAAGAAACCTATGGTTGCACTGAATTTTCCTACTTATTTTCACCGCTTTTATAAGTACTAGTGTATATCACAAGTTTTAATACACACACAGGTAATAGTTGAACCAGTATACAATAACCTTCGTTAAATAGTCTTTCCGAAAAAATCCGTGATATATAATCTGCTGAATCAGTGCTTAGCGGTGGAGTCATGAGCACTCAACTCTGAATTTGATCACAAGTTCATGACTGCAGATGACCGGTAGAGTGACTGGGTTGAATAGTAAATAAACGTCAACTCCTAATGACCAGCTACGACGTACAATTTTACACTAGATAAGTGTTTATGCAGTTTTTACTCCCCATACACCATCTAAAGCCTCTTTTACGGTTTGAGAAGGTCCTTGTTCAAATTGGATTAATTGCCTCAAAGCAAAAATAACAGGTTTCTCATTCTATTCCAAAACCACACCTAACCCCAAATGAGATGCATCTGTAATATTGATAAAATTTTCGGTTGGTGGAAGCAGTGTGAGGAAAGCCTCACCATTTATAACCGTGCTGAGAATTCTATATTGCACCAAAATATAATATTCAATAAAGCCACTAACAATAATAATAATAAAGTCTTCCCAAGTATATCATAATGTTTTTGTTGCCCTAAAATTTTTTCTAGGACTGGGGATGAAAAGTGAAGTTTATACTTTTGTAAAGTCAAAAATAATTACGGAGCATCGACCCACGATCCCACTGCTGACAAATTCGTGGTTGAAGGTGCTTAGATCAATGTAGCTTGGCGAATCATATCAAGTTTGAAACATCAAGCGTCTACAGTTTAGTCTAAGCAGTTGATTGAATTTAGTTTGAACTGACGCCTGTAAAGATTTACGGCCATATTCGTCAAACAATCGTTCGGATGACTTTAAAAAATCTTCATTATGTAACTTATTGACTTCGTTATAAACTACAATATCATCCTGATACGTTTCAGCACCACCTAGACTGATCATATTCTGATTTATTATCTTTTGGAACATTGTGATGGAAAAATTTAATCAGAACGGTAAGAACTTGTATCTGGACAGTCCAAATAATGCATTAATAGTAGTTAGTACATTAGAGGTTTTATCCGATAGAATGCCTTGACCCCAATAGTTTATACAAAATATCTTGGGTGTATTTGTAGAATCATGGTCTACTTATTTATTAGCATTGCTCTAGTAATTAACCTAATCCTAAAATTGTAAATTTGTCATGATGTGGCTGCTTAATCTAAAAAATCTTACATGGAAGTTACATCACTGTCTACACTGATTCATTGTACGTATGAACTTTGTAAGAAACACATTAAGGCTAAAGATAGAATAATATGTTTAGTTTGAGTAAAGACAAGTTACACAGAATGACCACGTCTGCCGTGCTGAGCCATGCCAACCAATTTATTGAATTAATGATCCCGCGTTATCCATTATTAACTACTCTTCGTGTAGATTGTTGAATACAAATCGTCTTAGTAATTATATGAAGGACTTTAAAGGTACGACCTTGTCGAAAAAGCCAAGTATTTAGTGTCATGTTGCAATCAGTACGAATTATAGATGTTTTTCTGTTCATTTTGATAGAATCACAATGGAAGTATCTCGCCTGGACTATTGAGCTGAGATTTTTATCCTTTTTTCAATCAATTTATCTAGCTTATCATTTACAGCCTTATTAAGACCATAGCAAAATAGCCTACGTTTCAAAATTATGGGCACATCCTTCACTTCTAAGAGTTTAAAAGCCTCGTATATGAAGAAATGCATACGTCTGGTAAACTTAGGCCATTGAACCCAAGCACTAATGGACCGTATCAATTAACTACTAATGGAATACTGACACAACTGCCCTCTACTTTCCTCGATGGAATATTAAATGTAACAATAATGGGTAAATAATGGCTAGTCAGGCCAGTAACTTCATAGCCGGTAAACTTAAACGGGACATCATTATGAAAAGCAACCGATTTCTATTACAAATTACTGGTTGTATGCTGCCGGAATCAACAATAAATGAATGAGACTTACCTGTGTTATCAATTAATTTTTGCACTAAATGGGAAGTACTGCTGCAGACGGTAGTGAACGACAACAAATCCATTCTTCTGACCTAATGCGTTGGTCATGATCCATCATCATTCAGTGTCCAAGTAGTAAACGACTTGAAACTTTTGCGTACCTTCGCATATGTCTAAGCTATTCTAAGGAACAACAATCTGCATAACGAAACTGATATAAACTACAAAGACGCAGCTAACTACATGAAAGACAGACTTAATACCAAAAGACAAACTAGTGTGCCTTACGAGTTGTTTACATTTCTGGATGAATCCAAACTGTTGTTCTTAGGAGTCGGAAGTTTCGGCAATACAGCAAATTTATTCGCATTCGCCAACAACACTTCATGTTTAAATAAAATTACAAGGACAATATGTATCTATACTAGGGTTGGACTTCATAGTTCCAAATAAATTGAGTGTTCAGTCGGGAGATAACAATAAATTCAATTTGTTTCATCCCAACGGGTGAAGAAATTTTGCTTCTGACGCTTCGTGACTCAATGTAAGCCACTTCTTCAGAGTATATAAATAACCGAAATTAAAGTAACAAGAGTTTAAAACGTCAGAAACCATTTTTTTACTCATTGGGATATAACAAAGTATATATATTATTAAAAAAATATAATATTTGCAGAGCGAACTGAATTCACTACATTTCAAGGCTTGCTGTCAGCCGCGAACGGCCAGAATTTGCAACTAAAATGTTAGTACAAAAATGTTATTGCACACTATAATTTTTATATCCTAGTGAAGGTTAAACTAC